TGAACCAGCAGAGACCCCTTACTGACCTGAGGGTCTCCAGTCTGCAGTCTGGACTCTCCAGAAGATCTCTCAGCAGCTTCTGTGAATCCTTCAGATCATTGTTACTCAGGTTCAGATCTCTCAGATGGATGTTGGACTTCAGAGCTGAGGCCAGAGCAGAACAGCTGATCTTTGACAAACTGCAGTCCCTCAGTCTGAATAAAGAAAACATGATGAGGATACAAATCAGTTTATAATCAGATGTTACTCAACATTTAAATGAATGGGAACAACAACAAAATGTCTTCTTCAGAAAGTAAACTTTATTAATGTAAAACTAATATTACTTCAAATGATCTTTATTCAGACGTTATTGTTTACTAAATATTAAAAACATAGATTTACTTTTTACAACTAACATCTATTCCAGTTCCTTCAAGAATCAGACAACATCTAAGTCTGCAGTTCTTACTTTAGTAGCTACAAATGAAAATATGAATAAAAGAACATTTACAACTGAATGGATGTAAGTTAATGATGTAGAAGAATCAGGATGAATATCTAATGAAACATGAGATCTCCAGCAGTAACAGAGAGTCAGTGAACTGACCTGAGAGTCTGCAGTCTGCAGTCTGGACTCTCCAGAAGATCTCTCAGCTTCACTCCTGAATCCTTCAGAGCGTTGTGACTCAGGTTCAGATCTCTCAGATGGATGTTGGACTTCAGAGCTGAGATCAGAGCAGAACAGCTGATCTCTGACAAACTGCAGTCCCTCAGTCTGAATAAAGAAAACATGATGTAAGTTTAGAAAACAAAGTTCCTGTTTGAAATAACTCCAGGTTTAATAATCTGCTCAGAGTTAAACAGGGTTTCAAAGGTCTCCTATCTGCTATCTTTAGGCATATATTCTGGGTCTCAGATATATAACAATATATAAAAACATCTCTATGATGTGTTTTGCTCCAAATACCAAACAGATCCTGCATTTTAGAAATCCCTCATATCCCTCAGTTCCAGCTGTTAGAGAAGAGCAGGTTCGGGTCCTTAGCTTAAAAAAAGAGGAGGGGGAGCTAATGCCTGATCAGAATTACCCGGCAGATTCAGCTAAATGCTGCCGTGATTAAACTCCATCATGTTCCAAACCACATCAAGGATTCTCTCTGAAACAGTATGGAGCTCAAACTCTTTCTCTCTCTCAGGTTTACCACAAGGTGAGTTCCTTTGGATTTCCTGCTTCTTCACACATACTCTCTCCAGTACAGGTTAGCTCTGAGTGTTAGCATGCTAATGTAAACACAGACCATATTACTTCCAGAACACGTCTCATTGTTTCTGACAGCAACGTTTCTGATTGGCCCGTGGGTGTAAAGCCCGCCCACATTTTAGTAATGTCGTCATGACGCAGCAAATCTGGATCAGCTCCGTTGTTCCCCCGTTTTTAGAGATGTGGGTACGGAGGAAAAGAGAGAGGGGTTTATTTCCTGACACTTTGTGAGTCTCCTGACACACCGGGGACACCGGGGACACACCGGGGACACACCGGGGACACACCAGGGACACACCGGGGACACACGGGGGGACACACGGGGGACACACCGGGGGACACACTGGGGACACACCGGGGACACACGGGGGACACACCGGGGACACACCGGGGGACACACGGGGGACACACCGGGGGACACACTGGGGACACACCGGGGACACACCGGGGACACATGGTGATGTAGAGAAGACATCAGAAAGGGCATTCTGCATGATAGGTCCCCTTTAATGTCAGAGATGATGCAGAAACAATCCACTGATAATCTGGAACTTTAACTTTGATCAGATGTTTATCAACTCCTTCATCTCCCTCACAGCTCATCAGTACTGACAGCATCTCCACTGACTCATGGAGCACAGAGTGAGTCTGTGGAAGCTCAAACACTCTCCCTCACACATTCACCTTCTCTTTGTTACTCTGATCAATATGCAGTCATTAGCAAAAGTGGAACAAATAATTTAAATGTATTTGTTCAAATTCAGAAAATGATAAATACAAACAGATGAAGTTCAGTCAGTGAACTGACCTGAGAGCCTCCAGTCTGCAGTTTGGACTCTTTAGTCCAGAGATCAGCAGCTCCACTCCTGAATCCTTCAGAGCGTTCTCACTCAGGTCCAGATCTCTCAGATGGGAGGAGTCAGACTTCAGAGCTGAGGCCAGAGCAGAACAGCTGATCTTTGACAAACTGCAGCCCCTCAGTCTGAATAAAGAAAACATGATGAGGATACAAATCAGTTTATAATCAGATGTTACTCAACATTTAAATGAATGGGAACAAAAACAAAATGTCTTCTTCAGAAAGTAAACTTTATTAATGTAAAACTAATATTACTTCAGATGAACTTTATTCAGACGTTATCGTTTACTAAATATTAAAAACATAGATTTACTTTTTACAACTAACATCTATTCCAGTTCCTTCAAGAATCAGACAACATCTAAGTCTGCAGTTCTTACTTTAGTAGCTACAAATGAAAATATGAATAAAAGAACATTTACAACTGAATGGATGCAAGTTAATGATGTAGAAGAATCAGGATGAATATCTAATGAAACATGAGATCTCCAGCAGTAACAGAGAGTCAGTGAACTGACCTGAGGGTCTCCAGTCTGCAGTCTGGACTCTCCAGAAGATCTCTCAGCAGCTTCACTCCTGAATCCTTCAGAGCGTTGAGACTCAGGTCCAGATCTCTCAGATGGATGTTGGACTTCAGAGCTGAGATCAGAGCAGAACAGCTGATCTCTGACAACCTGCAGCTCCTCAGTCTGAATAAAGAAAACATGATGTAAGTTTAGAAAACAATGTTCCTGTTTGAAATAACTCCAGGTTTAATAATCTGTTCCAACACAGTCTCACGGCATTTCGTGTTATAGTCACGAAATTAATCTATTGATTCGTGTTCACCAACACGATTTCGCCATTTTTTTCGTGTCACACAGAACGATTTTAAAAGCAATGTAAATAATAACAAATTAGAAGGAAAAACACATTTAAAAAAATACAGATTTAAGTATTCTGACACAGAACGATTTTAGAAGCAATGTATTTATATTGGTAGTATGTTTTGTGCCTGCACCAAATAATAACAAATTAGAAGGAAAAAAATATGACATAAAATACAGATGTCAGTATTCTGAGGCTCTGAGACATTTCTTTTCCTCACTGACGGCAAAAAAACTCAGACATTATACAATTTAAAATAAAAGGGATAGGGTTAGGCTTAGGGTAAGATATTGAGTAAGAACATGTTTTTATGAACCACACAGCTTCTGGTCTTCCAAGACCCGACCGGACAAAAACACGTGTTGCAGGCACGAAACATACTACCAATAGAAATACATTGCTTTTAAAATCGTTCTGTGTGACACGAAAAAAAGGTGAAAATCGTGTTGGTGAACACGAATCAATAGATTAAATTAATTTCGTGACAAATAACACGAAATGCCGTGAGACTGGGTTGTCTGTTCAGAGTTAAACAGGGTTTCAAAGGTCTCCTATCTGCTATCTTTAGGCATATATTCTGGGTCTCAGATATATAACAATATATAAAAACATCTCTATGATGTGTTTTGCTCCAAATACCAAACAGATCCTGCATTTTAGAAATCCCTCATATCCCTCTGTTCCAGCTGTTAGAGAAGAGCAGGTTCGGGTCCTTAGCTTGAAAAAAGAGGAAGGGGAACTAATGCATGATCAGAATTACCCGGCAGATTCAGCTAAATGCTGCCGTGATTAAACGCCATCATGTTCCAAACTGCATCAAGGATTCTCTCTGAAACAGTATGGAGCTCAAACTCTTTCTCTCTCTCAGGTTTACCACAAGGTGAGTTCCTTTTGATTTCCTGCTTCTTCACACATACTCTCTCCAGTACAGGTTAGCTCTGAGTGTTAGCATGCTAATGTAAACACAGACCATATTACTTCCAGAACACGTCTCATTGTTTCTGACAGCAACGTTTCTGATTGGCCCGTGGGTGTAAAGCCCGCCCACATTTTAGTAATGTCGTCATGACGCAGCAAATCTGGATCAGCTCCGTTGTTCCCCCGTTTTAGAGATGTGGGTACGGAGGAAAAGAGAGAGGGGTTTATTTCCTGACACTTTGTGAGTCTCCTGACACACCGGGGACACACCGGAGACACACCGCGGACACACAGGGGACACACCGGGGACACACCGGGGACACACCGGGGACACACCGGGGACACACGGGGGACACACCGGGGACACACCGGAGACAGACCGGGGACACACGGGGGACACACCGGGGACACACCGGGGACACACCGGGGACACACGGGGACACACCGGGGGACACACCGGGGACACACCGGGGACACACGGGGGACACACCGGGGACACACCGGGGGACACACCGGGGACACACCGGGGACACACGGGGGCCACACCGGGGACACACCGGGGACACACGGGGGACACACCGGGGACACACCGGGGACACACCGGAGACAGACCGGGGACACACCGGGGACACACCGGGGACACACCGGGGACACACCGGGGACACACCGGGGACACACGGGGGACACACCGGGGACACACCGGAGACCAGACCGGACACATGGGGACACACCGGGGACACACCGGGGACACACCGGGGACACACCGGGGGACACACGGGGACACACCGGGGACACACCGGGGACACACGGGGGACACACCGGGGACACACCGGGGGACACACCGGGGACACACCGGGACACACACCGGGACACACCGGGGACACACCGGGGACACATGGTGATGTAGAGAAGACATCAGAAAGTGCATTCTGCATGATAGGTCCCCTTTAATGTCAGAGATGATGCAGAAACAATCCACTGATAATCTGGAACTTTAACTTTGATCAGATGTTTATCAACTCCTTCATCTCCCTCACAGCTCATCAGTACTGACAGCATCTCCACTGACTCATGGAGCACAGAGTGAGTCTGTGGAAGCTCAAACACTCTCCCTCACACATTCACCTTCTCTCTGTTACTCTGATCAATATGCAGTCATTAGCCAAAGTGGAACAAATAATTTAAATGTATTTGTTCAAATTCAGAAAATCATAAATACAAACAGATGAAGTTCATTCAGTGAACTGACCTGAGAGTCTCCAGTCTGCAGTTTGGACTCTTTAGTCCAGAGCTCAGCAGCTTCACTCCTGGATCCTTCAGAGGGTTCCCACTCAGGTCCAGATCTCTCAGATGGGAGGAGTCAGACTTCAGAGCTGAGGCCACGACTTCACAGTGAGTCTCTGAGAGCCAACAGCCAGTAAGTCTATAATAACACATATATTACAACATGTGTTAAAAAGAGGAAACATATTAACCTGAAGTATTTGACGAAATAAATATTTGACATATATTCTGATTGAGATTTGCTGTTTTTCCATTTTATATATAATAATATATAATAACAGAGTGTAATGTGTTGTCAGTGTGATCTGATCACATGTCTGGGCTCCTGCTGTCACTGACTGTTACCAAAGAAACAGAAATTAAATAAATCACTTGACAATATGAGAGATGTACATATTTAAAGGTGGGGTAGGTAATTTTGGAGAAACCGGCTCGAGTGCGTCAGAATTTGAAAATACACAACCTGAAAAAATCTGCCACTTCCTTACAGAGCCCCTCCTCCAACACACACGAACGCGCACATGACCAATGAGGGCACGGGATAAGTTTGTGCACAGATGGAAGGCTGACAGGCAGGTAGGCCATCCAGTTATTTTAGCCGGGCCGGCTCAGATGATTGGTCGTGCTTTTTACAGTACTACGGCTTCCACAGATGATATTTCTTTATGGATTTTTTGTCAAAGCACTTCAGATATTCATTGCTATCGGGATGTTAAGAGCATTCCATGGAATATAACAAAAAGTGTATCTCGAGCCGGTTTCTCAAACTTACCTACCCCACCTTTAAATGTTAATTAATATTTAGATGTGAATGATGAATGTTTTGTCTTCTCTGAGCATCTGGAAATGTACTGCGCACACAAACACAGTTAACAAACCAATAAAGTTTCAATATTTTAAACTGAATACCATCAGATGTTCTCACTATATGAGCATTAAGTCATAACTCTGTTATTGGTGGGAGATTATATAGATCTGATTTTAAACTCTAACACATTGTGATCAAATCGTGTGTTTTTAATGATAAAGAAACTACTAGAAAGTAATAATAACTGATAACTGTAAGTCCTGCTGTGTGGTGTGATCACATGCTGAGGAACCTCTAAAGTCCTTCATGTGTTTGACATGTCGCCTCTCAGTATTTAAACAGCAGAAATGTTATCGTGTTTATTGAATAATTAAACTCCTGATCCACATTAGTTTATAAAGTGAATCACATCTGGACTTACTTGGCTTTCCTGCAGTTCCTCACAGCTGGAATCAGTCTCTGTTTCCCCTCCAATGATGTTTTGTACTGACTCAGGTCAAACTCATCCAGAACCTCCTCTGACATCTGCAGCATGTAGGCCAGAGCAGAGCAGTGGATCACAGAGAGTTTCTCTGATCTGTTCCCTGACTTCAGGAACTCTGTGATCTCCTGATGTACTGAGTGGTCCTTCATCTCTGTCAGACAGTGGAAGATGTTGATGCTCCTTTCAGGAGAGATTTCACCACTGCTCATCTCCTTCAGGTTGCTGATGGCTCTCTGGATGACTTCTGGTCTGGTGTCTGTGCGACCCAGCAGGCCTCCTAACAGTCTCTGGTTGGACTCCAGAGAGAGGCCGTGGAGAAAGCGGACAAACAGGTCCAGGTGGCCATTTTTATTTCTGAGGGATTTCGCCATGGCTCCTTTTAGAAAGACATCCAGGGATGGGTACTCCTGAGAACTGATTTTACTGTTCTTATAGGGCCAGTCTTTCTCCAGGAAGTCCTTCAGTACCTCTGTGTTCCTGTTGGTGTAACAGTGCAACATGTAGACTGCAGCCAGAAACTCCTGAATGCTCAGATGAACAAAGCAGTAGACTGTTTTCTTGAAGATCACTCTCTCTCTTTTGAAGATCTCTGTACAAACTCCTGAGTGCACCAAGGCCTCGGTAACACCAAGACCACAGCGCTCCAGGTCTTTTTGGTAGAACATGATGTCTCCTTTCTCCAGATGTTCAAACGCCAGCCTCCCCAGCTTCAGAAGAACCTCCCTGTCAGCCTCCGTCAGCTGCTGTGGACTCGTCTCATGTCCCTCTTCATACTTCTGCTTCTTCCTCTTGGTCTGGACCAGCAGGAAGTGTGAGTACATGTCAGTGAGGGTCTGGGGCAGCTCTCCTCTCTGGTCTGTAGTCAACATGTGGTCCAGAACTGCAGCAGTGATCCAGCAGAAGACTGGGATCAGACACATGATGTGGAGGCTCCTGGAGCTCTTGATGTGAGAGATGATTCTGCTGGACAGGTCTTCATCACTCGATCTCCTCCTGAAGTACTGCTCCTTCTGGGCGTCAGTGAAGCCTCGTACTTCTGTTACCCTGTCCACACACTCAGGAGGGATCTGATTGGCCGCTGCAGGTCTGGAAGTTATCCAGACGAGAGCCGAGGGAAGCAGCTTCCCCCTGATGAGGTTTGTCAGCAGCACGTTGACTGAGGACTGCTGAGAGACATCAGACACAACCTTCTTCTTTCTGAAGTCCAGAGAAAGTCTGCTTTCATCCAGGCCGTCAAAGATGAGCAGCACTTTACAGACAGCCAGCTGCTCTGCTGTGACCTTCTGTAAGGTTGGATGGAAAACATGGAGCAGCCTGAGAAGACTGTACTGCTCACCTTTGATCAGGTTCAGCTCCCTGAAGGAGAGCGGGATCACCAGACTGACATCTTGGTTCTCCAAACCCTCGGCCCAGTCCAGAGTGAACTTCTGCACTGAGAAGGTTTTTCCAACTCCAGCGACTCCGTTGGTCAGGACCACTCTGATGTGAGTCTGTTGGTCAGGTAAGGCTTTAAAGATGTCCTGGCACTTGATTGGAGTTTCATGGAGGGTCTCTTTCTTGGAAGCTGTCTCCAGCTGCCTCACCTCATGTTGGGTATTAACCTCTTCACTGAGGCCTTGTGTGATGTAGAGGTCAGTGAAGATCCTGTTGAGGAGGGTTTCACTTTGATCAGTTCCTTCAGTCACACGTTCACATCTCCTCCTCAGACTGAGCCTATGTTCATCTAAAACCTCCTGCAGACCACTATCTGCTGAAAGAGAAGAAACAGGAGAGAATCAGGAAATGCTTTTGAGAATCTAACAATAAAACTAATGTTTAATAAACATTGTAATGTCTATGCTCTTCAACAGAATACCTAATAAAAGAAACAAAGGAACCAGGAAGAAGAATCAGACGCTGCATGAGTTCGGCCTCTTACCTCGTACAGAGCTGGTCTGACTGGCTGTCTGCAGGCCAGCTCTGGTTCTGGATCTTTCTCCACACTGGGGACAGGAGGGGTCTCCTGATGGAGGTCTCTGCTCCCAGTATGAGGTGATGCACTGTCTGCAGAACCAGTGTCCACAGCTGGTAGAGACTGGATCCTTCAGGACGTCCTGACACAGAGCACAGCTGGACAGTTGCTCCTCCACAGGAACACCACTCTTCCTCTTCCCTCTGTGGAGATGAACACATCCTTTATAGCACTTTACTTTAGTGGAGCTGATTCTCACCAAAGGCACAACAAGGGGGAAAATTCTAGTTTGATATTTAAAAAAAGGTCTATACAATATACCCTCGTGATCAGGTAGATAGCTTACAGTTCACATGATCATAAAACCAGAGAGCATCCTGTCTGGATTCCTGACCCAGAGGAGCACATGTTCCCTGTATCTGATTAAAGCTAGGCTAACATTAGCTGCTCCATCCTCACTCAGAGTAACTTCATGAAGTCATAAGTACAGCAGTGTCTATATTGTTAGCACCACAGACAGTCTCTGGTTTATACAGGAACATGAATAACCCTGATTGAATATGAGCTGCTGTAGAGCTCTGTTCTCCTCTCTGATTCCCCTCAGACCGTCAGAGACCACAGGAGCTCAATCTCAACTCTGACAGGTTTTTGTAACAGAGCGTCACTAACTTTACACTCAAGTTGAAATGTTTCACGCTGCACGAATACGCAGGTGATATGAATTTAACATCTTCACTTCCTTCCTGTTGCCAGGCACAGATCTGGGTCTTTGTATTGACTCTACATGTGATATCACAAAACACTGTTCTATGTCTCTGGCCCTCTGGCCCACAGACAGCGGAGAGCGTCTCGCTGCTGCGGCCGAGGATGATTGGCTAGTCCAGGAGTCTTACTCTGTGGATCAAGCCCTTGATTTATTGGATCCGAGTGGCGGGCAGCAGTCAGGTGACTCCTTCCCCTCCATTCACGGATCACCATGTGGTTCCCCCGGCCCCATCCTCCCTCTCCTCCGGACGGGGGAGACAGGGCGGGGCCCGGTGTCAGCCCGGCAGCCGAGCCTATGGGTTCGGCTGCTGGGCTGACACTGGGTCACCGGGTCCCTCTATCCGCCATCTCGGCTCTGTCGTATAGGCGGTATTCTCCAGGAACTCCCGGAGATCATCGGAAAGGCAGCCGCCTAATGAGATCTCCCCGTTCCCCCGGTTCAGGAGAGCTCTCCTCCGGATGACATAAAAAAGCTGTATAAGCGGCTGCCTCATAGCCTGTCGGTTATTAGGCAGCAGGGCTCGCGGCACAAACCGGCTGTCTTTAAAACCTGTCGGTTGATTAGACAGCACGGGCTTGTTTCCTATGTCACAGATATGCCTCTACACACCTCTGCTCATTCCTCAAGCGGGTTTGAGCGTGAACGCGCCTCAATGTCCGGTTTACGAGCCTTCTCTTAACCGGCGACATGATGAGAGCCGCTGTGCAATACAGCGTGTGGAGGTGCATAAGCCAGCTGTGGTTAACCTGTCAGTTAGCAGGCAGCAGGGCTTGACGTTTAAACCTGATGCTCCTAACCTGTCGGTTATTAGGCAGCATGGATTTTTCCTCTGTCTCAGACGTACCTCCTACCCACGGTCGTAATGAGCCCACGCCCCCCAGGTGTCATGCTCAATGTACCCGTCTCCCTCTGGCCCTCAAACAGCAGAGAGCAGACGCTCTCGCTGCTGCTGCTGCGGTCGAGGATGATTGGGCAGTCCAGGAGGTTTACTCCGTGGACGAAGCCCTGGATTCCTGGGTCCGAGTGGAGGGCACAAGTCGGATGACTACGCCCCCTCCATTCATGGATCAAAGGGGCCATTATTACGCCTCGTGGGGACAGCACTGCAAACACCTCCGCTCATCCCTTAGTGGTGTTGAGCGTGAACGCACGGTTTACGAGACTTCTCCTAAAACGGCGACATAATGAGAGCCTGTGTGAAATGCAGTGTGTGGAGGGCTCTGGCGTGGTTTGCCACCAACCACAGCACATCCAGAGAATGTACACCCGGCGCTATCAGAGTATTACTCAGGGTGGCGGCGTGTGTGTCTGATGGACAGATGGATGAGCAGGCGGATGGGCAGAGGGTAGTCTCTGCAGTTCGCCTCTCCCCCCCGCAGTTCTACGGGATACAGGGAACCCTGTCATCCCAGGAACAGTGTCTCGCGCTCCGTGCAGAGCGGCAGGAACTCTTGTTAAAGAAAGCCTTTTTCCAGGGTTCCTCAAGGGGAAGAAAATCAGGGGTTATTTTCTGGTCCCGAAGGAGACGGGGCGGGGGGAATGAGACCCATCCTCGATCTGTCAGTGTCCAACAAAAGGGAATGGCCTTTTCCCCATGCTGAGGATCAATCAGGTGCTGGAGTGTGTTCACCAGGGAGACTGGTTCACAGCCATAATCCCGAAATAGCAAATTCCTGCGTTTCTCATTCCTGGCTCCACGCACTTTTTCAAAGTGGGTGGAGACGGCTGGAACAGCACAGAATGGGGATGAGAGTGTTATTTTACCTGGACGACCGGCTGTGGCTGGCTCGCTCCAGGGAGGAAGCGGCTTTACAGACGATACAGCTCGTATCTCATCTGTCAAGCCTGGGTTTCATTATCAACTGGAAGAAGAGCTGTCCTCTTCCCTCCCAGGTTATCATTTAACTGGGAGTGGAATTGGACTCAGCCCGCATGAGAGCGCGACTCTCACAGCGGAGAGGGGAGAAAGTGACAGCTCTCCTCCGGCGCGTCACACCCCGCGGGGCGGTGACAGCCCTCTCCGTGATACAGCTGTTAGACATGATGTCAGCTGGTCACGTGGTGATCCCCTTGGGTCTCCTTCACTTGAGGAGACTCCAGAGGTGGTTTATTCGCCTGTGCATCGACCCCGTGCGTCAGAGGAGACGCATGGTGTACATTCCTCCTTCCGTGGGTTTGGTTTTAAGCTATTGGAAAAATCTCCAGTAGGTCAGTGAGGGTGCCCCTGGGCAGAGTGACGTCACACACCGCAGTGTTCACAGACGCATCTCTCGCAGGCTGAGGAACGTGCATGTCGCAGGCAGGGGGGGGACAGTGGCCGGTTCACATGTCTCTCCATATAAACGTGCTGGAATTATTCTCCGTATGGAGAGTAATCCAGCATTTTTTCGCCCCGTTGCTGTACAGTCAACATGTGTTGATTCGAACAGACAACAAAGCAGCGGCGGCCTACATAAATCGCCATGGAGTTGTACGATCAGCGCATCTGCTGAACACACCAGAGCATCCTACACAGCCAAATGGACAGCGTTCCGTTTGACATGTAGGGAAAAGCCTGGACCCCGTTACGGTCACCCTGCCTCACGTGCTGTCGTTCCTCCAGCTGTTGCTGGACAGGAATTGGCTTATAGCACGGTCAAAACATACGCTGCTGCCATTTCATCTTGCCACATAGGTTTTGGTGTCAGCACGGTGTTTAGTCACCCTCTGACAAAACGTTTTCTACGGGGAGTACAGAGACTCAGACCTGTGTCACGCGCTGTGGCGCCTCAATGGGATTTGGCTTCAGTGTTACGCGCACTGAGAAAAGCTCCATTTGAACCTTTAGATCAGGTCCCCCTAAAAGTTCTTGTCAGCCAAAGTAGCTCTGCTCTTGGCTCTGACATCAGCTAAAAGGGGTGAGTGATTTGTCTGCTCTCTCTGTGGCTCCGTCATGTCTCCAGATCCAAGGAGATGGCAGCTCAGCTGTTTTGCGCCCAAGCCCGGCTTCCTTTTTAATGACTGATTTTAAATGCCATTTTTAAAATGTCTTCCATTTTTGTAAAGCACTTTGAATTACCTTGTGTTGAAAGGTGCTATATAAATAAACTTGCCTTGCCTTGCCTTGCCTTATGTCAAAAATTATCACAGGCTCTTTTTTAGATCGAGAGTGATAACTTTGGATGGGTTTTTTTCCTCCTCCTCACACATCAGA